TTGAATCTGATTGTTGTTAATAAGAGAACATTTTTCTTAAATTTATGACGACTATTAGAAACCGTACATTGATTACATTTTATAAAATATAATTTTTATTTCAGAAAGCAATTTCTTGGTTACCAAAAATATTTACTAGTAATGAGAAAATTGTTTCATAAATAAATTAAATGCCTGCTAGGGACTGCTTCTCTAGTCTCTAATAAATCTAGAACTATTGGATAGTTATATCTTTGGGTAGATCAATGAGAACCAACCATAATCGATATCATAAAAAAAAAGATCGATGTACCGATTAATCGAATTCGGAAACATCGAATCAGGCATCGATTATTGAGCGGAAAAAGCATCGATTTTTGTATAATCGATGGAAAAGCGCCCATCCCCAATTCACATCGATCTTGCATGGATAATCGTGCTGGCAATTTAATCCAATTCTGTAGTTTGTTATCTGTTCCTGTACTAAACTGTTCTAGAACTCTCTTTCTCGTTTTAAATAAATATCAAACGTATATCTCACTTTAAGTTCCAAAAGTGTACACTAGTTCAGCCACAAAAAACAGACCTCTGCTCTGGTGAAAACTCGAGAAGGTGTATAGATATCGACACAACGTGGCGAGTGAAAAACCTTGAATAAAAGTGAGTAGTGCTAATAATTTATATGTTTATATGTTTAGTACCCTCCCTGGCGGAAAAGTTTTTATGAAAAACTACATAGATTGAGACAATAACTTAAAAATTCGTAGTTTTTTAATAGATATTTATAACGGTACGTAGAGTGGCGTTGTTTGAAAAAACCAAAAAATACTCCGCTCTCAAACAACTCCTCTCTACGAAAAAGTTTTTTGTAAAAGTTTTTTTTCAATCAGGGTAAGTATATTTATCGTATCGATAATTTTAGAATGGAAAATAAGAGCCAGAAAATTGAGAAACCACGTGATACGGTGATATTGATTTTAAAAGAGAATCGATTTGAAGTTGAGAAGCAAAAATTAATCAGCAAGAGTCAGTACTTTGCTGCTCTTTTATCCGAAAAGTATTTAGAATATGGTCTGACAGAATGTATAATTAAATATGAAAATATTCCCCTAATTTCATTTCAAGTAAGTTGATTTCAACACAAGTAATTCTTATTACTGTTTAAATGTTTAAAAATAAAATAGATATAGAAGAACATTTTGAACAAAGGTTATATCCCAGTAAAAAAATTTTACACGTGGTCACGTATAAATATATATTATTATGTATAACTTATATATGATTATATCTGATTATATATAATTTCATAAATAGTTACACAAGTATATATGATCATATAAGACTTCGTATGATCATGTATGATTTCATGTGTACGCATATCTTAACAAAATTACCTTTTTAGAAAAAGGTAAAAAAAAGACGCCAAGTGTGCATGTACCTTCTATAAAAAGGGAGGGCTCCGATTGCACACATCGCATATTGCACACATGTATCGCTGATTGGCCAATTTAAAAATAAAATAATCTTATTGGCAAAACAGTAAAAAATTATTAGGCACCAGTTGATATGAGTGGTGTGTACAATCAGAACTGTAGGCAAACGGGATCCTCCCGATGATCATCAAATAATATCAAATAAAAAAAATAATGAAGAGATTAAGTAAGAAAATGAGGTGGATTAACAATATACAGTGTGTGTGCGTGCGTGCGTGCGCGCTCGCGCGCGTGTGCGTGCGTGCGTGCGTGTGTGTGCGTGCGTGTGCGTACAAGCAAATAACTAAAAATACCAAATATGAAAAACGTCCCTGTCAAGGGTGGCTAATCCCTGCTAACGGCCTCTGCACTTCCTGGCCTGGCGCGGGAGATCTGGATAGATTCCCTTCTCGCTCCTCCCCTAACAGAACAGCAAGTCACGATAACGTCAAAATGACATTAAAATGAATTGAAAATAATCATTTTCAATTCATTTTAATGTCATTTTGACATCATTTTGATATCATAATGACTTGTAGTTCTGCTTGATCGTCAGGACCCTATGCTCCCGACAGACGTCCGTCCGGCCCCTCAAGGGTGGCCGGGAATTCTGGCCTCCTCCGGTGCTCTGCAAGGGGTGCATGGTGAAAGTATGGTTTCTTTCGTATGCGACAGCGGTTACGAGCAATGATATAAAATAATATAACCTGCTTGTCCGGGCTCCCGGATGTGCGTTCTTCTCTCTCAGCTTCTTCGATCTTCCTTCCAAGGTGGCGGGTGAGACGGCACGATGATACAATAATATTTTACAGCAGCTGCCGAGCGTGATTCGTGGCGCGTCTACGCTTTCTGATAAGCTCTATCATTACGCAAAAGAAATGCTAACACCAAAAAGAGGGAAAATTTGTAGAGTAAATTAGATGACGCGATTTTAACGCACGTTCGCAGGTGCGCTTGCACGCGTGCTCGCGTGCGCACTCGCGTGCGCGCTCGCCCTCCGAGCCGATAGGAAGCACGAGTCCTCCGCCGACAAGTGACGGACAAAATGTCACGTCACGAGGTATGACACATCTTTCTTTCCAATATAGGCTGTGTTCCAAAATTGTTTGTCAGCGCTGGCAGTACTGCCAATACCGTTCCAAAAATCATCGTAGCACGCTGTGGCAGTGCTGCGAGAGGGTAAAGACGTCATTAATGGTGTCGTCATTTCCTACTGCGGCTGCTGCGGCTGTCGAGGTGAGGCAGCTACAGCACAAGATGGCGGAAAAGATGGAGGAGTTAATTTTAATCGATGCTGAGAGTAAAGCGGGGAGCACAGACTCTTGCATAACGCATAACACGTAATGCATAAGAATATGTACCAATCGAAGTTCTCCGTTTCTTTCCCTTCCATGTAATAGAGAACTCTGGTTGGTTCAATTTCTTATGCCTCGTGTGTTATGCGTTATGCAAAAGTCTGTGCTCTCCGCTTTAAGTCGTAGAAAATTGACCAATTATAGTCAATCTAAGGGTATATCCACACAAACTTGCATAGCCGCATAAACATATACATAAAGAAAATTATCCAATTGCAGTTCTCTTTTAAAGTCGTACATAAAATGTGATTGGATAATTTTCTTTATGCATACGTTTATGCGGCTATGCAAGTTTGTGTGGATATACCTTAAGAAAGCAAGAAGTAGTGAGTAGATTTATAATTTTTTTGTAGTCTGCTTTTTGTAGTCACACTTATTTATTCTTATTTCGAATTCAAATACAAAAATTGACATAACCTATGTACAAGAGGAAATCAAAAAGTAAATTTATTTTATTCACATACAATAGGCGTTAACAAAATATGTACATTATTTCTCAATACAATCATTTAGCTTCGCATAAAATTTTGTTTAACAATCTACAAATCTGATTCCATCTATGAAAAAACTGGTTTTTGACTATCCTCGAAACATCAATGGTATATACCGTTTCCTTAACTTCCTTAACTTCCTCATTACTATTACGATCTTTGTGCTTCGAGCAAATTGGTTTCCATTTATTTGTACCTTCGGTATTCTTGGTTGACGTTCGCAATAATTATATATAATTTCCGCTAATTCTGAATCTGAATCACTAGACTCTTCATCACTAGAATCAAGTGCTAACTTTATAATAGTTTCAAATACGAATTTTTTCTGTATGCTTCTCTCACAGCCTTAGGCTGTGTTCCAAAATTGTTTGTCAGCGCTGCGAGCATGTCGTCATAAGTGCATGCTACCAATAGTGTTCCAATTTCATAAGCATGGTTTTTATGCAAACGCAGCTTTCATTTTGGAACGATATTTTCAGTGCTGTCAGCATATAGC